CCAACACGTCTTACAGTATTTAGTATTTATTCATTTCATTAAAAAAACACATCACAAACAACAAAACAATGCAAATCAAATAAAATGAAAGGCAGCAGACGAAAAAATAAATCTTATCTGCGCCTATTTACAAAAAAAGAAAATAATATTAATTTCAAACAATCTTACTTACAAAACTTAATAAGCATCTCCAAGTTTAAGTATAACATTTGCAAGATTTGACGAAAAGAGTTAAAACTCTTTTCCCACTAATGATGGTRTGAAAGGCTGACATGGCCTTTACTAATTAATAGAACAACGTTGACAAGTTATCACTGTACTGATGAGTGACTACCGTCTCAAAACATTGAGCTGTGTGCAGTTTCTGTCTAGACRGGACTAAAGCAGCCGACATGCTGTTAAAAGTTGTGAGCTATTTCTTGTGCTTTTKCTCTCTGTTGCAGATTTACGATGCCGGGGAAGTTTTTGGAATATTACGAATCCAACAGGAAGATGACATAGAGGAAGTGGAGAATGAGGAAAACGGAGAATCTGAGAGGAAGAACAAGAACCCTGGAGAGGTGGTTAACAGTAAAGTGGTGGTCACCCGAGAAAGTGGCTTCCTGGTCTCGGATCCAACCAGGTGAGGCCACTGAAAGGCTAAAAATTTTCCATCTTCATACCTTCTGTATCTACTCTAGGCTCTGTCAGAAGACGTTCCCGTCTGGTTTTCATCCATCTCATAGCTTTTACAGAAGACACACAGAGGCGGGGAGGGGGGTGAGACTGAAACACTCCAAGTGAGGCAGTAACAAACACGTAACTGTCAACTTCTGAGAGGTTGGGCTGGTGTAGTGCTGACTGAAACCTTCAGGGACCACCCAAGCTTGGGATTTTTCAAACAAAACCAGATTTAAACTTTCAGGTTTTTTATTTTATTTTTTTCACGCTCTCTCTACGTACGTGCAGAGGAGGAAATAAACACAAACTTTATCAGCACAAAGACTGACTAAAAGTATGCAGCAGTAAAACCGTAATGTCAGGTTATTTTGAAACTTAAACCTTAAAAATATGTGCTTGAATATATTTTGATCTTTTCAACAGCAGGGACAAGAGTCCTGCAACTCATCAGCACCTGAGTGTTTTTTTCCACACTTCTTTTAATACAACACTGCTTAATCCCTGAAAACACACGTGAGCCTGGTAAGAGAGTCTTTGTAACTTCTAAACTGCCAGAGGCAGCGTTAACACAGAATGTTTGCCCATTTAGTGAAACTGCCTTCTGAAAAACCTATGAGATGGACAAAAACTGGACTGCAACTGTTCCTACAGATTGACAGGTGATCATAAACCTGAGTGAAAGAGTGAAAAAAAAAATCTTATATCTGCCCCTTATTTAAAAACATACTTCAAACTCAAGCTGGAACAATCTCCAAAGATGAAAGTAGCCACTATCTAAAGTTAAAAGTGGCAGAACTGTAGTCAAACTTAGCTCAACAGCAGCTAAAGGCTAAAAGAAACAGACCAGCCGCTCAAAGCTGAAAATAGAAGGTAGCTAAAATTTCAATATTATTTCCATAGCTCATAAACAATGTTGACGAGATCTTTTCAAGTTGGTTAAAACAAACGGGGAAAGACAAAAATAAATTCAGAAAATCGCTCACTGTTATGAACTGGCAAAAATGAACCCAGGGTGCAGGCAGCTTCCAAAAGGAAAAAATAAAGATTTATTAAACAAAAATTGCTGACAGGGCAGCTCAAAAACTCACTTGGTGTAGCTAGGCAAGGCAACAAATATACAGGCTGTGAACAGCACAGTAATCAGACAGGGAAGTGAAGGCAAGACTCAGAATATAATGGTGAGACTAACGAGCACAAACAGGAAACACTGGGAGAGAAACATGAGGAGCAGGTGATAGTGGGCGGGGCTAGAGCAAAGGCAGACAGGAGGAAGAAAACAGATGACAAGACAGAAACTAAAATAAAACTAATACAGACAACAATCATAACATAGCCCCCCCCAATAAGGGACGGCTCCTGACGTCCCAAAAAACAAAAGTTCAGGAGGCCGGCCATGAACTTCCCCGCCGCAGAGGCCAAAGTCAGCAGGATGACCTGGAGATCCCCACTCCATGTCCGATGAGGCCCCAGGAGCTGAGCAGAGCCAGAGGGAGGAGGCAGGAGCAGACGTGGAGCCAA